CGTAGCAGAGGCCGTGGGCAACCTCACAACCCAGCGCTCAACCGCTGCGCCACCAGGAGAGGCCCTTAAAAGATAATTTTTAAAAGCAATAACCTTTTAAAGTGTTATGATTTCTTCATTTCCATCAAAATTGTTGTTGAGGGTCTCGTTTCCCTGCGTGGAGCAATGTCCGGGGCCTGGGCCTCTGGCAGCCACACGGACTTTGCAAAATGTAGATGCGCCGTGAACACCTTGTGAGCGAGCGATGCGCGGGCTCAGCAAGCCAGCTCCAGCCTGCTCAGGAAGGCCCGAGGCTGCGAAGATGGCCCGGCGGTCTGTGCCCAGCCTCGGCTAAGGGGCTCCGGAGCTGCCAGCCAGGCCTCCCGCGGGCCGGGCCCAAGGAGCTGTGAGACCCTGCAGGTGCAGGCACATGTTCGGGGGTGCTGGCTGTCGGCAACACGACCTGCTAGAGTCGCTCTGATTTGCTGCAGTCCTTTGTCGAGCCACACGCGGCGAGTGTGCCCATTGGAAGGGATGGTCAGAAGCACGTTTCGGGCGCCTGGAGGCTTCTGAGAAGATCCTCGTTCCCAGGCTCCCGACGGCTCCATCTTCCGCCATCTCTGGGTGCTGAGAACCCCAAGCCTCTGGGCCGCAGAAACTGACGCTTCTCAGAACGTCCATGAAATGGCAGGGATATCCAGAAGTGCTCTTCAAAGTCCTAAGTAGCCAGAACCCTTCAAAAAGAGGGTTTGGGCTTGAGAATTACTGTGAAGGGAGCAAAGGACTCTGCTATGAAAGGGCGACTTTGCGACAAGAGGGAGTCCAGTCATGCCTCTGTGTGCGCCTGCAGCGTGCGCCCTCGTATGCCGGGGGCAGCGCGGTCAAGCTGGAGAACGGAGGCCTGGTGAGGGGCCCCGGGGCGGCCGTCCCGCGGCGTCCAGGGCAGGTCGGAGGCTGCGTCGTGCTCCCTGTGTGTGGGCGTCTGCGGCGGCTCAGGGACACGGAGACCGTATCTCAGGGGCGCGGTGCTTCCCAGGCAATAAGCAAGAGATTCGTCTCTGCCCCGAGCCGGCCCCAGCCATGACAGCTGGCGTCAGACACCCGCGCCTTGAGAATCTCAATGTTACGAAGCCCTGCACTTGGGACGCTCACATTTCATTTGCCGAAAACAAAGACTCGGCGCTCGCGTCTCTCTGGCGGGTTTCAGCCGAGCCTGATCCTTGTCAGAGTGAGACAGAGCACCTGGCGGCTCTTGCAAGTTATTCTGTTGGGCACATTGGATCGATAGCGGCTTGCAGCGCCCAGGACAGGCTTCGGATCGGGGTTACTCAGCATAAATAATTGAGTGCCGCGCGCTCTGTGGCTTCTGTTTTAGCAGCTACAGAAGAGATGCCCTCCCCGTTGAGGCTCTCCCCAGACTGCCAGTCATGTTTGTCATTTTTATTAAAAATGGGCGTGTCCTCAAGGCCAAAGACAAAGCAGGACGATCAAGGAAAATCTTCATTTTCTTCCCCGGCTGGACGCATGGACCAAACACCCGCCAGCCGCTGCCCGTGTCCTCCGCCTAGAAACAGGTGCCAGACAGATCGGCCTGGTCTCTCCTTCCTCCGCCTGCTCCTCCTCTTCCTCTCGCCCAGTCGTCCCCTCCGGGGCTTCGAGCTACAGAGGGGCGACCACCCCTGCGTGAGGGCAGTGCTTTCCGGAGAGGGCTCTGCGGAGCGTCAGCCCAAGACGCCCATAAGATAAACACCAAATTTCCAGAAAGGGGTTTCTAGTGGCCGAGAAAGACGCGTGTAAAATCTCCTGATTACACAGCAGAAGGCCCTGAGAAGCCTTGACCTTGGCTCAGGGTCAGAGCACCCGGAGGGAGACGGCCGAGAGCTGAGGACGCGCTGGAGGAAGGCCTTGAGGAGGGGAGCACCGCCGCGGGAGCACGCTGCCTTCATGGCGGGGACCCAGTGAGTGTGACCTGCCGGGGCCGGCGTCTCTGCCCCGGCCTCTGGCTAATTGCTCCGGCAGACACAGCTGCTGGAGGAGACACGGGGCTCGGGCCCTACCTCCATGGGGGTGTGGGGGCTGAGGCCCCGTGGGCTTTGATTTGAAGGGTGGAATGATGAGGCTGTGTCCGCTGGCTTCTCCTTCTGTGAGCAGAAGAGCCGGGTCCTCCCCCTCACCGTCCACCGGTTGCCAAGACGACTACCTCCAGCATCGCCTGCCCGGCCGTGGTGGAGCACAGGCCGCCCAGGGCCACCTGCCAGGCAGCTCCCCCAAACTGGCAGGGCCTGTGCTGGGTGAGTGGCCGGTCCCCGCAGCTCAGCCTGCAGCTCCCGGGCTGTCTCTGTCATGGAAACGCTCGCCCTGCGGATGATGCCGCCCTCTTTCATGGGCCGAGCTCTGCTTTGGCCCTCCCGGCCCTCCCTGCTGAAGTCTGTGCTGAAATGCATCAAATTCAATGGCTCCTGGGCCTCGTGAAGTTGGTGGGACCACAGTTAAGTGGGGGACTATGAAGGCTGCAGTTTAGGGCCCCCCACCCTGGTGTGCTCATCCCCCACTGAGGACACGCTGCCCTCACTGGTTCTGCCCGAGCTCCAGGGGGCGCTGCCCGCAGGCGCCCTGACCCTGCACCCCGCCTGAGCCGTGGCTGCTGCTGCGCGCAGAGGGGTGCCCAAGGGCACCTGCTACCCCGACCCGGGGGGCCGGCCCCGGGGGCCTGTGATTAGCCCTCACTCCCCTCTATGGTGACCACAGAAATGGAGACGCTTTGCTGGCAGCCTGGGAGTGGCCCCTGCCTGCCTGGACCACCTCCCTGTGTCCTCCTTTGCTCTCTTCCAAATCGGCCCACCCCCCGCCCCCCGCCTTCCCACCTTTCGAGTTCCCACCGTCTGTCCCGAGCATCCCGAGTGACCCCGAAGCTAGACCCCACAAAGCCTCCCTCCGAGTCAGCCGCGGAAGGTGAAGCCTGGGCAGCTCCTCCCCCCAGCTCAGCCTCCACGCCCCCCGACGCCATGGGAAGCGCAAGGGTCCTGGGGTGACCTGGTCTCCCAAGCCAGTCAGCCCGACCACAGGCCTGAGTGCTGGGCACGTCCTGTTTGGGACCCAGCAGCTATGCAAGTGAGAAATCAATCATTTTCACCAGGTTTTGCTGCTCGAGGTGACGAGCGAGCAGTTGACTTTCCCCAAGTGTAAACCAGAGCTTTCCCACACTGGGCTCCCGTCCCCGGGCGGGAGTGTCCTGCCTCCGCCTGTCAGCCTGGCCATCCTGAGGAGCAGAGAGGGCATGTGTGGACGCTCTGTCCCCGGAGTGCTTCCTGTTTGCTCATTTCTACCAACAAGGCCAGGGCCAGGGGATCGGGCAGTGCCCAGAGGGGGATCCTGATGTAAGGCAGGGAGGGTCCCCACACCCCATACCTGACCGCGGAGCGCCCCACCCGGCCCTCCTGCCCGGGGTCTAGTGGGGCTGGCCCGTCCTCTCTCTGCCTCAAGAGGATCGCTGTCCCTTTCGCCGCCGAATCAGAAAGTGCCCCGACGTATAGTCAATCACATAGTGTTAAATAAAGGGTTCTCAATACAGGTCACTGAGAGAGCGTATCATACAGTCAGCGAAGAACATTTAAGAAATAAAGACATGCCCCTGTGCCGCTGCGTCGGCGGCAGTTCCGCACCCCCCGCCGGGGTGCCACCCTGGCAGGAGCAGGCGCAGGAGGAGCTCGCGCAGCTGGACGGCGTCACGTCACGGGAGGCCACTCAGGGATCCACCGTGTCCAACCTTTGTTCTCAGGTTGATGTTCGAGATCATTCTCCTGCTCTCCTAGAGTCTTCACAAACAGTGATTGGATTTTGACTGGTAATAAAAACAACAGTGACCCAACGTAGAAACCTCAGCGAATGCAGAACAATGACCAGAAATAACCCAAACGCGTCTCCGCCCTGCTCTCGGGGGCCGGCCCCGGCTCCCGGCCTGTGACTGGGGTCGCTCTTTGCACGGGGTTGTAGACGGTCTTCTGCTCCCTGGAGAGCGTCCCTAGTCAGTCCCTCACCGGCGCGTGCGCTTCCGTTCCGTGTGCATGTAGGGCTTGTTATTCCTCTGTTATTGCCGTCACTGTAGCGGAGAGAACCGCGAACGTGCTTGTTCACGCATCTTTCATTTTATTTCTGGTGACGGCCTCACGTGGGGCCCTGCGTCGGATCCTGGCTCAGATAACGGACCCGTGTGGCATCACTCCCTGCACAGAGCCGAATGGGTTTTGAAGGAACTCAGCCAGTTTATGCTCGCAACCGACGCGCATGGGGTGGCTTTCTCTTGCCAAATTGAGAAGAAAAATTGCCATTTAAATGAGACGGACATCTTCGGTACCCGCGGCGACCCCACATGCTCCCCGAGCCCAGGGTGTCGCCCCCAGGTCTTCTTCCTCTTTCCCTAGTTTACCACGTAGGTCCCACCTGACCCCCAGACTCCAGCTCCGGGGGGCCCCTGTCGATTGTTCCCATTCCACACGCAAGCTCATTTCCACATTCTGCATCTCCAAGAACCCCCTTGTGAGGGCCATAATTCAGTTTGCAAAGTGGCTTGGTGTGCTCTGCTGAGGGACTATTGCGCTCTTGGATGGTTGATCAGGTGAAGAGACACCCCACGAGCTGTTGGTGGACCCCAAAGAGCTCCACCGGCAGGAGAACCGGGCAGGGGCTCCCCTGAGGAGGCAGGTCGGGGGACGGGCCACCCTGTCTGGGAAGCGGAGGTGGAACCCCCGGTGGTGTTGCACTGAAGGCAGGAAAGCAAGGTGCTTTATCTAAGTGTGTGCTTAAATCAAAGAGTTGGAAGGACACCCCCAGCTTTCAGAGCCCTCGCCCGACCCTGAGGTCATTGTCCTGCTCCGGCGATGGGGGGCAGAGGCTGGTGAGGTTGGCGGGGCTGGCAGGGCTGGCGGGGCTGGCGGGGCTGGTGGGGCTGGTGGGGCTGGCGGGGCTGGTGGGGCTGGTGGGGCCGGCGAGCCGCCCTACTCATGCCTCCTGTTTCCTCTCAGCCTGCAGACCTGGGCCATCGGGATCCTGGACATCTTTGGCTTTGAAGAATTTCAAAAGAACGAGTTTGAACAAGTAAGTGGTTTCTTTTGACATTTAGTGAACTATGTTTTTCCAAATAGTTCTTTTGAATGCAATAGAGACGTCACGTAATCACTTGCAAATACAGAGTTAAAACAAGCGCTTTGCCATCAGGTTTTGGGGTGAATGTGCCTGTTTTGCTGACATGTTCATTGTCCCACGTGGGCTTATTTCCTGAGGGAAGAGGTGCTTGCTTCAAAGACAGCGCACGGTGAGGACCTGCCGGGCCACACAAATGCTGCCTCGCTGGCTCGGAGAGGAGGTGGGTGGGGGTGCTGCTGGGGTGCGTCTACACCGGAGGAGGCCCAAGGGTTCAGACCTGCCAGCAGAGGTCCGGATGCAGGTGTCTAGTGATGCCAGAGGCACAGGCAGTGTCTGCCCATCTGGCCTCCCAGGACCACTGGGAACTCCTGAAAACAGGAAGCAGGAGCCCCATGTAATCATCTATACCTCGGCTCGGCTGGCGTCCCAGAGGACAGTGGGGATCGCTTAATCCCGCGGCGTGTCTCGCAACACCAAGTGTCAAAGGAGAGTCCAGCGTGCCCTGCCATGGGGACAGGAAGGTGGGAGGTGGCAGCCCGGTGGCCGGGCAGAGCCACACCTGGGCACTGTGGGGACTCCTGGAGCCGCTACAGCACTGGTTTAGACAAGGCGGCGGCCGGGGACCAGGCGGGGTGAGTTTGAACCCCGCTCCCTGGCTTGAGCTGGCAGCACCACCTGCGCCTAGGATGAGGGATGCATCGGCTTCGGCTTCCACACCCGGAAACCAGGTCAAGGACACCCAGAGACGGCCGGCCCTGCAGCGCTCCCGTGCGCGTCTGGAGGCAGCGAGCACCCTGGGGACCTGCTGCGCTCGGCTGGGTCCTGCCAAGGGACCCTGCGTCTCCTGAGTCACCTAATCCAGGCTGAGTCGGCCTGAATCATGGTCTGCGGAGGCTTTACCAAAAGAATGCATGACATCAGACCATGGGCTGTTTTCTGCTTTCATACCGGTGCATCCACAGATTAAGGGAAAGACAGGAAGTCTTGGGTTTATTTATTGCTCACTGTAAGGAAAGCAGCGGTGAACATAGGACAGGGCAGGTGGCAGGTGGCCGCAGGCTGGACGGCGGGGCCCACGGTGGGGCCCATGGGCCACAGGTGGTCACGGGGGCTTCTCGGTGAGTCTTGAGCCGTGTGGGCAGCAGAGCTGAGGCCTGACTTCTCTGCCCACAGCCCTGACCATGCTCGTGTCTGAGGAGACGCCCCGTCCTCCATCTTCTGGCCGGTGATGGGCAGAAGTCACCAGTCAGTAGCTCCCCGGGGTCAGGCCCCAGCCCCATGCACCAGAGGTGACTCTCTGACAACAGACACACATGGACATTGATGTCACTTTCTTACTGGAACTGGTGTATTCTACTGCAGTTCCTTATTGTAATGAATTCATCAGCTTCTTACGCCACGGGCCTCTGTGGCCATCACCTGCGGCCTTGATCGTGTTAATGTGGAGGGCACTTGGCAGCATGGGCACCAGGCACACGTGCCTGAGTGTAGCCTGGAGGCCAGGGCTATAAGGGCTGAGAGGACGAGCAGCGTGGCCAGAGAAGAGGCGAGTCCACAAGGCAACCCAGAGAGAGCCAGAAAAAGCATAAAGATTCGTGGGGGCTGGGGACTCAGCTGCCTGCCGCCTCCTGGCCCCCTGCCTTGCCAGCTGGCGGGCTTGCCACTGCACCTATATTCCTCATTCTTTCTTCCTGCTAAATATTATCACTACATATTCATAAGATAAATGAAGACGCTCAGGTTTTTGTGCCACTGGCCCCTGTGACCATCACCTGCAGCCTTGAATGCAGGAGGCACTTGGGAGCTGGGCTCGGGCATGCATGGCCGATGGTGGACACCTGGGGTGTGGTGTGGGCCTGCGTGAGTGGGCGCACCTGAGCCGAGAGACAGGGCATATAAGGGCAGCGGCAGAGGAGGTGAGCGGAGTCAGCCAAGAGCCATGAGAGATGCCAGAGAAAGCCCAAAGAGTGACGATCCTGCTGGGGCCTGGGAGGCCTGCCAGCCTCCTGGCCCCCCGGCCCCCGGCCCCCCGCCCCGCCCTGCACCTGGTAGCCTCACTACAAATGGTGTGGAAGGATCACTAAAAGCCTGAAAAAGCCCCGAGGGCTCCCGGACTCCCCTCTGCCCGCTCTGCCCACCGCTGCCAGAACTACACGATTTTAGAACACAAGCACAGCCTGAGATTCTTCTCTGCTGAAGAGCGGCACATCGTCAGGCCAGAGGATGAGCTTCACTCAGCCCCCAAAGTTAGCTCCAGGTCGCACAAGTAAAACCCTGAGACCAAGTCTTAGACTTCGTCTGTGAGAACAGTAAATACCTTCTGCAGATTCTCCCTGCCGGGTTTGCTTAGCTGCTGTGCACGGGAGGAGCTGGAGCCGCTGGGCGGGGGGAGAGCACGTCTGTGCGTGGATTTAGAGCTGATCTTACAGTGCATTTTTAGCAAATTCTAAAATTTACAGGTGAACTTTTTAAAGGCCAGGGCTTTGAGTGATGGTTGCGCTGCTAACAGAATGTGAATTTCCTCATCTTTTATCCCATTGCAAACGTTCAACAACACGTGTAGCAAACCCACGTTGTGTGCAGCCAGGGCCGAGGATGTCTGTGCCGGGGAAGCATTTACTTCTCTCGCGCTCACCGGCCCGCCGTTAGCTCTTTGCCAGGAAGTAGACGCTGCGTTCGTAGATCACAGAAGCCTAGCAAACGTGGCTTCCGCGGAAGTTTAAAGGAAAAACCCATCAGAACAGATGGGCTCTAGGGGACCACCCGGGGCTCCTTGCTAGGGAAGAAACGTGTGTGGTGTTTGGCGATTGTTCCCATCTGACACGTGTCCAGAGCAGGGCGAGTCAGGGGAGACGCTGAGAAACACCCAACACGTCGGCCTCGGCCCTGAGGGGTTCGCTGGTGCTGAGATGCTCAGTGGGGGGGGGGGGGGGCAGGTCTTAGTGAACAGGAAATGCTAATCCAGTTTTCTCTGACTCCTGATGACTCACTGCCTCTCAGAACGCTTCCATATAATAAGACCTTCTATAGATAAAAATTCCACGCCACGTATGACTCAGCAGGCATTTGCTGCTTCCGTGCGGAGGGCAGAGGCCCACCATCCGGCTCCGCTGCCGCAGCCTGACTCACCAGCTGACTGCGCCGCCAGCAGCTCCCCCGCGAGGCCGAGCCCCCCGCATGTCCTCCCACCCGGTGCTCAGCCAGGTTCTCTCTCGCTCTTTAAAGGTGTCCCCCGGGACACTGACGAGGGCCCTCTCCGCGCACCCTCCGGTCAGCACCGGGCAGCCGTGAACGCGGGTGCAGAATCGGGGGCGTAGCAGGACGGGCACCAGGCCAGGGGTCCCGCAGCCTCTGCAGAGCCGGCGGGGTTAGAAAGAGCAGCCGGTGGCTGGAAAGTGGAAAGAGGCGGAAGGACGCTGCCTTCGGAGAGGCGTCTCTCGGGAAGCCACGCCGGCGGGTGCGAGCAGGGGGCGAGCGGCGAGGGCCGGGGGAGGCGGCCAGCTGTCCTCATCGGTCAGGCCAGCGAGGCTGAGAGAGTTTGGAAACAGACGCTAGAATGCACGCAACGGAAAACTCCGCGGAATCAAAAATAAGTAAATGGCCCGAGGGATTTGGTCCGTGTCCTAAGGTCGCGCAGTCCACGTCCAGGCCGGGGAGGGCTGTGCTCTCGGCCCCGGGCGCGGCGAGCACACTCACGCCGGGTAGTTAGCGCCGAGCGCCGGCGCCGCCACCAGGACGTGACGAAGGCCTGGCGGGATCAGAGCAGGTCTGCCCGGTGGTGCCAGCGGGGAGCGAGGCGGGAGGCTGCCGAGGGTACAGACGGGAGAGGCGAGACGCTGGGAGCGAGGGAGGAGGAGAGAAAACCTGGATGTTGTGGAGCTTCTCGAGCTCCTGCTGAGCACCGGGACCCGAGGCGCGTGATGGAACACACGGCCCCCGCGGCTGAAACTGCGCGTGGCTCTCGAAGCCCAGCCTCGCCCCCAGCGGCTGGCGGGGCGCGTCGTGACGAAGACGGTGTGTTCCACGCCGCGTGTCCCGGGACCTCACGGGCGTTCTTACGGGACCTTGGGTGGCAAGGAAGGTGTCGTGACGGAACTGATACGAGGAAACGCATCAGCGGAGCGCGGTCGTCGGTCCTCGGGTCGGGCTGTCTGTTTGGAGGAGGCCCACGATGGGGCCCGGGCAGGCCAGGCTCTCGCTGCCCGAGGGCCAGTGCAGGCGACGAGGGAGGACTCTGCAGAGCCCAGCGCGGGAGCCGCCGGGACAAGGGACCTGCTGCTGTAGCACGAAAGGTGCCGCGGCAGCGCTGTGAGCAGAGGGCTGTGCCAAGCACATGGGTCAGGCAGACAGGCGGGCCCCTGTGCATCCTGTCCGGTGGAGCCACGTCTAAAAGCGCGTGAGTTAATGAAGGTGATGTGGACTGTGGACATTATGAAATCGGAGATTATTGTTGCTAGAATGATGGGCGGTAGAGGCGTTACAGGCGCAGTTTCTTAAGTCCTTCTGCCTTGGGATTTATACCAAAACAGCAGCCAATCAAATAACACCGTGTCTAGGCGCTGCTGCAGCTGAGTCCAGGTGCGGGGGGAGGGGGGCAGGGGGGCAGGTGAAGCAGATCTGGCTGAACTCGGTGACAGCCGATGGTCGCTGAGGCGGTTCATGGCAGGCGGGGCTTCATGACGACAGTCTCTGTACGGTTGCATGTGTTGCAAATGGTCCCTAATGTGCTATTTTAAGTAAATGAAGAAACCCTCAGTCATATAAATGTTACTGGCATGAACGCCAGGGTCTGCTCCCCCAGCGCCGCCCCCCCCCCAGAGCTCCACACCCACAGATCACCAAGGGCACGAGGATGAAAGAGGCAGAAACGGATGACTGAGCCTTCAGCCACTTCTCCAAGTTCCCCGCGCGACGCCTGACATGTAGGGCCGTGTGCGAGGCCCTCGGCGCCGTGGGATCCGCTGACAGTGATCAGGACGATCTGCTGTGAGAACACGGGGGTTTTGGAGGGAACAGATTGCGTCTCAACAATCTGCTGTAGGAATACCGAGGATTTGGAGCGAGAACACATGTGTTCAAAGTAAAAGCTTCTGTCCTAGAAATAACATTGTGATACAGGACCTGTCTGTCAGCTCGGCTTCCTCTCAGCTGATTTCAGAGACAGGAAAACTTTCCTAAAAGGTGAGATTTGCTGGAAAGTCCCGATGAACCCATCAGTCAGGTTTAGACTCAGTGTCCAGAGACCACGGACAAAGCCAGACCCCTGGACTTGGAAAGTTTATGAAATGAGATGGTACATTTGACAACTTCACCTCAGAAATCACCATCAAATCCTTCGTGATGACGTCACTCATCCAATCACGGGTCAGCGGCCGTGGGGGCTCGGGTTACCCGGAGCCTCCTCAGGGCCACTGTCCTTGCAGATGATAAAGTTGGCCCAGGCCCTTGATCTGTGCAAGCAGGTGTCAGCGGGACCTTGACCTTGGGTTCCAGAATGTTTGCCCCTAGCGTCCGTTTCCTGGCCCTTGGCCTCAGCGTGATCTGGGGCCGTTCATCGCAGACACTGGCCGCCTGGCTCCCCAGGCACAGTGGGTGGGGGGCTGGGTGGGTGGATGCCACGGAGGGGGTGGGGAAGGGCTTAGCTGCCTCAGCCCCAAGTTTGCAGGATCCATGTGCCCTGTGAAAGCAATCCCTGTTCTGACAGCTGTTGCAGGTTCATAATTCTGGTCCAGCATTCGCCAACCCATTGAGCTATGACTGTAATAAAATGTCTTATTGTTGGTATAAGTCTCTTCACCTGTGGATTCCAGAGTCACACATGCATCGCGCCCCAGCTGTTGCAGAGCACCCGCCATCCCATGACACTGAGGGTCCAAAATCATTTCAAAACTCGCCAGTGCTGATCACACAGTATGGACTTGAAAGAGAACCTATACCTTTGCCCGGCGATGGAGCCTCAGGCTGGTGCTACTATGCTAAGTTTCTCTGTACAAGTCATTCTATAAAAAAACAGATGACAAGAAATTGTTGAGAAATGCTTTTAATCTAAAAATTACGTCTTTTTGCCTGTGATGTCAGTGCCACCTGTACGTGCCTTAAAACCCATTATGTGGAGTTTGACTTAAACTCTCCAAGGGACGCCCGGGGGAGGCCTTGGCTCCCTCAGTGCTAGTGACTCACGGGAGAGGTGGAGGGAGCAGAGTGCATGGGCTGGGCCCTTCCTGGTGGACTTGATGGAGTGGGTGCAGGTGTCACACCGACGCCTGAAACCCACATAATGTCACAACGCAGTGTTGCTGCAATGAAAATAAACAGAAAGGGTAAAAAACAAATAAAGACAGGAACAAATAAACGCTGGCTTCTCTCGGCCCAACACCAGCCAGGCGTGAAATGGCCACAGGCCCTGGCAGGTGGCCAGGCCAGCAGACCCTCACCCAAGGCTCCGGGCTCCTCGGTCCTTGGCTTGAACATGTATCAGATTCCAGCAGAGGTCGTGTGGTGCCAGGAAAAGGCAAATACCACCTTCCTCGAGCAAGAAGAGAGGCCACCCTACTAAGCACAAGTTCAAAGGTGCAAAACACAGCTTTAAAGCCAAAGCCAGTCAGATGGATGTGAACCACGTGTCCCTGCCAGTTTTATAGGAAAGCTGGCCAAACACATGGTAACTGCCTGCTGGGAAGGCGCCCACGGCATCTGGAGACCTGAGACAGGTGTGGGGCAAGGGCTGGGCCCTCGAGAGTCCCACAGAGAGGCACTCACATGGCTCAGCTCATGTTTTAGGGGGGTTTAGACCATTGCAGTGAACACCTCTGCAGTTAGTGTCCTGATGCACGTGGTTGAGAGACACAGACTGTCCACGTATCCAGAAACGAACAAATGGACCGGGCACCCTCTGTCCATCACCCAGCTCAGCGAGTCCCACCTGACTCCGTACGGGAATCTCCTGGACAGCTTTTAAGCTGTATTGGTGCTTGGGCCCATAGGATTTAATTGGTGTGGGGTCAGGCCCAGAGCCCAGTCTTCTCACGCCCTTCCAGTTCATTCCACTGGGCGTAGGTTCACAAATCTCTGGAGCTCTGCTGCAACCCGAGTCGGCTTTCATTCCTCTCCTACTTGAATTCTGTAACGCACGTGTCATGTGCTATTATATTTTTGCTTCAGATACATTTCAGTGAGTAATAAAAATAAAGGCAGAACAGTTGGTGAGAATTTACTCAAGAAATTAAGTTTGCCATTAATACAAAGGACAGGCCATCTGGAAGAGCAGTAACGTTCTGTGACTAAAGAGTGTTTGCAAGGGGTGCGTACTTTTATTATTAAACCAGTTAGCAACGGCACTTAATGTACCGAGCATGTATTTTAATCAGAGAACAGCGCCTGCTAATTAAGCAGTACTTAATAACCACTCATTATCATCTGTGAATGCTCACCTTCACCCACATTCGAGTCTACTCCGAGGCAAACCTGGAAACGGAATGAGGCCTGAACACAATTCTGTTGCGGGGACTTAAAACACGGATGAGTGATGGCCTTCATGGGGCCATGGTATTGGCGATCATCGATGCAGACCCGTGCTTCTCGCCCGTACTAACTCCCTGTCACGGGGCTCCGCCGCGCGGCTCCTGCTCCACACGCGCCCACACGTGCGCGCAGCAGGCAGCTCAGTGGAAGCGCAGCAGGAGGAAGCAGGTCCTGGCGAGGGCTCGGGCCCCATCTGGCCGGTGCAAGTCCTGAGCCAACGTTCCAGGAGGAGTGGAGGCTGGCGCGGCCTCAGCAGGCCCCGCGGCCAGCTCTGCTGGGGTTTGACGTTCATATTCCAAGCGCTTCCTTTAGCTGTAACGTGGCTTTAAACGGCGAGTGTTTGAACACTTAGAATGGGGAGGGCAAGCTGTTTGGTAAAAACATTGTCCTGTGCACCTGACTTCCAAATGGCTTTGAAAGCCCTTCTCTGGGCTGCCGCCGCAGTTAGGGGTGCAGGCCCGCTGTGCTCGGCACGGCTGCTGTCACTGCGGCCACAAGGCGGGCGTCTGTCCAGGTGCTCGGCTGCGCCTCCAGCAGGACTTTCCTCTGGGACTTTAATAAACGACTGTGAGGTGATTTCCCCTCCAGAGGACAGAGAGCACGGACAGAGGCTCAAATGCATTGTCAGCAACACCCCACATTGCACCTGCCCTCCCAACGCCGCTGAAGCCCCCGGGCGGGCGAGGGCGGTGTGTCAGCCCTGCGACCGGGACAGCAAGCTGCGATCCTCGTCCACAAGCGCAGGCTGAGCCCATCTCTGTGCCAAAGCCGAGCCTAGGTCTTTAGACCTCCTGGGAAACAGAAGGAGGTGAGAGCAGGACCCCACCCCTTCCTGCCCTCTCGTGTTCGCCTTTTCTGGACACTCAGGTGCTCGTCATCGAGAATCCCCTCGAGTCCCACTACATGAAGCCCCCCCAGGGGCCCGGCTCTGTCCTCCCTCCCGTGCGCGGTACGCCAGTTTGACACAGTCCTGGCCCAACTCGGCCGAGCCAATATTCCATCAACTTAGATGTTATTTTATAACAGCTCATCAGCGAGCGCCTTCAGCCCGCAGAAATGCACTTAGCGCCGAGTTTACGTAAACCACGTTTTATGGTGAAGGCAGAGGCAAGAAAAACAATGAGAGACCTTGTTGGTTCCGGATGCCCCTTGTTTGCGGAGTGAACCTTCCCTGTCGACCAGACCCCAAATGCAATTGCCTTTGGGAGATATTTTTTCAATCCTCAAATATATTTTAGACCCACAACTTGTAAGTTGCTGCTCCACTTACTTTTTGCGGCACTAACACTGTCCTTACTACTTTGTTCTGCGTTGTCATAATGTCGTAAAATGCTCACGATCATGGAAGACTCTCGATACAAACACGCCAACAGTTTTTATTCATTACAGAAGAAGCCCTGATGCCCCAGGAAGTGCCCTCCTTCTGGGATGACCCCCGTTGCGTACAGGTCACTGTTTCACCTAAGATTAAACAATGTCTTTAATCTAATCATGATTTTAACCCATTAATGCTGAACACGCCGTCCGCGGCAGCCAGGCCCCGCCCTCGGACGGGCGGCGGTGCTCTGACAGCCCCTCCACAGGCCAGCGGGGGTGTCCTGAGTCCATCTGAACCCGTGTGGCCCGCGAGGGTCCGCCTGGCATGCCACCTTCTGAATTGTTTTCTTTTTCCCACAATAGCTTTGTGTCAACATGACCAACGAGAAGATGCACCACTACATCAATGAAGTGCTTTTTCTACATGAGCAAACAGAATGTGTACAAGAGGGAGTTGCCATGGAAACAGCTTATTCTCCGGGTAACCAGACTGGAGTTCTGGATTTTTTTTTCCAGGTATTCAGATAATATAATTAGACATGTTGTGGGACACATGCATCTTAATACACTGGAGACAAAGATTTTTCTCTTGAGGGGCCTTATTTTTGATCTACCCTGCAATGTAGGCGACCTTTCTCTGCTGTATTATAAAGATAGTCAACCTTGTCCAGGTTGCTAAAACTCTCCTTTGGTGTAGCTACCCAGGTCCTCTGCACAACATTTTTATTTCAATAAACAATACCAGGACTTTCTTTTATTTATATTCAGGTCTTTGAGATTTAAATATTGGAAAATGGCAGAAAACTATATTTATACATATAATCGCAGGACAAAGAAATGTCTTGCATTGGTGTCACGGAGGCCTGTAGTGAGAAGGTCCAGGCTACTTCAGGAGGTAAACTGAGCCCCTCTGGGGCCACAGAAGGCTCATCACTCCCTGAGAAGAGTTATGTTTATGGCCACCACCCTTCCAAAGCTCGCAGAGTCCAGGTGAACAATGACGATAAATGACAAAATAATGGAAATAGTGTAGATCACTTTATGGTAAAAGATCAGCATGTCAGCAGAAAACTCCCCGTGGCCCCTGCAAGCTAAGAGCACAGCGCTGGGTAGAAAGCTCTTCAGCGGCTGTCCACGCCCCGGGGGCAGGACAGGGTGGCCTCGAGGCTCTCCAGGACACTCCTCTCGCAGGAGGTTGCACTGTCTCTCAGGCTGGAACGTCAGCCTCCTTGTTTGACTGCTGTATCTGCTCCGATTTCTCTGATTTTCACTGTCACTAGTTAGAGCTTCAGACTTGCTTCTCTCCTAGGTCTAAATTTTGGAATGTCACGAGCTCCTTCCACTTGCTGAGTGGGATTGTACCATAACTTTCATGACTTCACATCACTGTAGGTTTTATATTTTGATATTACTGGTCCTCTAGAGCTCTGACGTGTGCAAGCTTACAGGTCAAGCTCTGCTGTGGCCAGAACTTTCTTTTTCTCATTAAGATGAAATACATGTTTTAATAATTCCAGTCCTTTCATGAAATTAAAAATGCCATTTACTCATCCCTCTAACCAATAGACACTGTTGAGGCCTCCAGCACATCGTCACGGGAGGTGTTGGGTGACAGCGGGGAGCAAGGCAAGTGTGTCAGAGTGATGATGACTCGTCCGTTTTCTGAGCGCGTCTCAGAAATGAAAACTCTGTGGACAGAGTGAATGTATAAATGCGTGTGCAGGGACAATCACGAAACCCACACTGGGTAATAGGAAAAACTCTCTTCACTTGCAGAAACCTTCCGGGTTGCTCTCTTTATTGGATGAAGAAAGTCAGACGACTTGGGGCATGGAGACAAACCTCCCCCAGAAGCTCCACAGCCTCCTGGAATCCTCCCACACGAGCGCGGTGTACTCCCCGCTGAAGGACGGGAATGGGAACATCCCCCTCAAGGACGCGGGCACGGCCTTCACGGTCATGCACTACGCGGGGAGGGTAAGTGACAGCGGTGGGGGCCTGGAGTGGCCCAGTCCCAGGACAAGCTTGGGGCTGGCAGTGGCCTAGAGCTCACTGAGCCATGGAAGGTGGAGGACCCCCGCCAGGCGGTTCTCTCCTAAGCTTTGTTCTCTTGGCTGGTGAAGGACTTGGCATCTTCAGTGTGAGGACCACGAGGAGGGAGGTCTGACCCTTCTGTTGTCTGTTGTGTTTCAAGATTGTGCCTTCGCACGGGTAGGCAAGCCCCACATTCCCTACAGAGAGCTCCGCTGGACACTGAGCGACTGACCCTCAGTATGGCTTTGGCACATGTTATGATTGTTGCTTTTTATTGTATTGTGTTAACTGAGGTTATGTTGGTTGCATCACTGGATAGAATCCAGGGGTACAGGTTCACCCTCTTCAGAAGGATGCTGACACACCCCACACACCTCTGAAGCCTCAGAGCCCTCACCACCCCGCTCCCCCGCCCTCTGCCCATCTGTCTCACAGCCCGGGGCAGGAGGCTGTTGTCAGATCCCTGAGCAGCCTCGCAAAGCCCTGGGCGGGGCTCCGACCGGCTTACCAGGTGACCAGTGGCTGGTCCATCAGCCCCACCCTCAGCTGGCGCCGGCGGCTCTCTCTAGTCTGTCCAGCATTTGCTGCATCCCTGCTCCCGACCTCCTGCTCCGCCAAGCGCACTCTCGCCCAAGTTTGAAACATTCTTGGGTCTTCTTACGAGGCTGGGTGCCCCCCCATGCCCCATGTGCCCCCCAGCCAGCTCCCGCTGCAGACAACTGCGCCCACCGCGGTCCATGGGCTCCTCTTGTTGGCACACAGCCCCCGCTCGCGGCTAAGATCCAGTCCCCCTTCAGCTCCTGCCACTGTGTCCACTGAGACTCTGCTGGGTGCCCAGCCCGGAGCTCCCTCCAAATAAGGAAACAGTGGATTAACAAATAATTATTATGTGATTTACTTATAAAAATATTAGCAATTTCAATAAAAATATTAGCAAATATTAGCAATTTCACCAAAAGTCCTCTATTGCTGCAGAGGAGAAAGCAAGTGTTAGGCGCCAAGAAAAGCATCGAAATGTTTATTTACTATAAGAGGGAAACTGTGACCCATGGTGAGTGAGGAGAGACGCCCCGGAGCCGGGGAGCGTGCGGCCTGGCACGGACCCCGCCAGGGCCGTCAGGCAGAAAACCCCTGGTTCAGGAGCGCGGCTGGCAGGAGCTGCAAGTGGGACTTTCAGAGCTGGCTGAGAACACGTTGCAGGACTGGGCTGTGGGGTCGCGAGGGCCTGGCCCCGACCAGAGCCTGCCCCGGTGGGGGACGCAGCTGCTCTCGGCGCTGCCGGCAGCTGGGGAGAAGTGCCCAAGGCCCGCACTGGACAAGGAAGCCACGGACGGAGGCTCTGCCCCCTGCAGGGCCAGGCAGGGGAGGGGGTCACTGCCTCCGGGTCCCGGCGAGCAAGGCTGGCAGGCGGCACAGGCCGAGCCGCACTCCGGCGGGGGGGGGGGGGGGGGCGGGGGGGGGTCATGGGAGGGGACGGCAGCACCGACCTCCTGCGCGGGCGGGAGACTGATGCTGTGAGTGACAGAGAAAGCGAGGACAAGACAGACTGGGGTGTGGGCCCGCCCGCAGGGCCTGAGCGGGAGGCCTGGCAGGGCGGCAGCGGCCAGAGGAAGCAGCGGGGCTGGCCTGTGTTGCCAAGGACAGGTCTAGGGTGTCCCCGCGGGGAGTCCCCGGCAACGCGGCAGCTGGAGGGAACAATACCCGGCGGGTGATCTGAACTTGAGCTTCTGGATGGAAGCCCCCCCACGAGGACTCGACCCGGGAGTGAAAGATGGTTGTTTCAGAAAAATAGTCACACTGTGGCCATGCGCAGCTCTGAGCGGTTCACCCAGGAGGCGCTTGGGGGTGGGGAGAGAAGTTCGGAGAAGTTAGAAGCTTAGAAGCAAGAGAAGAGGAGGGGGTGCACACCCCGGGAAGGTGTCTGCGACCCGCCCCTGGCGGGGAGGAGGTTTGTGAGTGTTATAAACGTGCATCGGTAAGTTAGCAAATAAATGCATAAAATATAAAAATACCACTGGCGTGCAGAAAGATAGCATCGTAACTATTGCTGTATTGGAGACATTAATCTTCTAAAATTCTTGGGAGCACTAGCATTTTTTAATCCTTTCTGCAGGGTTTTTAATCTATATTTTTTATAGGAAACATTTATGGAATTCATGGGTCTTAGCTGAGACTCACGATGAGATGTAAGTAATGATTCTAGAAGATGACTTTCCCGTAAGCCACCTTAAATCAGCACAGGCCTGGCTGGCCTGGCACGCCACTTGCATCGCATGTGGAGACGTGTTACGTGTCCGAAAAACGCGAACTGTGTTAACTGTGTGGGGCCGAGCTTTGGAACAATGTCTGTTAATTGCATCATGATCACTTGAAAATTTATCCTCCAGGCACTGACTGAGATCTGGATTCCAATTGTTTAAGAAATTTGGGGGATGAAACAGCTAATAGTTTGAGCGAATATAATCACTTCACTGAATTCTGATGGAAATGAAGCCAAGAACCAGTCAATCGATGAGTTGTCACAGAGCCAAGCCCTGCAGAACCATGAATTTCCCGTAAAGGCACCTTTATATTTTAAGCAAGGTTTTCCAGGACAGCATCAACTTTGTGGCGTCACCGGAGCCTCCCCCTTCCGAGATGCACCAATGACTCTGAGCTCAAGGACTCCCCGGGAGTTGTCCCGTGTTCCCGGGGCGATCCTGCGTCATTTGGGGTTCTAGCACAAGCCTCGTGCCAGCCCAGTGGTCAGATGCGGCCGGTGCACTGAGCACGCGAGAGGTCTTCAAGAAAAGCAGCACATTCTGCACTGTATAATCAGGAGAGGCAGCCGACCGCCGCGGCCAGGCCCGGCCCGCGGTCTACTCTGGACGGAGGCCAGCAGGTCTGGCGAGCGCGTGGCTGGGGCAGGTCCTGGGAGCACTGCAGCAAGGGGCTTCCTGCGTTGGTCCGTAGCTGCTGCTCTGGCCAGATGGGTGGGCCCGAGGGTCTCCCCGGTGCCAGTGACCTCCACGACCTGGTCTCACTAGTGAGACGTACCCCAGCTCGTGGGAGGGTTGGCATCACAGAGGAGATGGGAACATCGGCCCCTACATCAGGCACTGGCCCAGGTCGCCCCGTGGGTGGGCTCATTGGGTCCCCTCCCACCCCCTCAGTTCCGTGGTGGGCTGTGGTCCAGGGCACGAAGGCCCCTGTATGGCTGCTCCTGCCTGGTCCCCACAGCTCCGTTCCCAGGTTGCTGCCCCCACTGGACGTGACTCAGGGAGAGCAGAGCCTCCTGATTGGTGGTCAGTCTGTAAAATACCGGAATTCCCTTTCCGTCCCCAGGAAAAGGACCCACCGCTATTATTGAATAGATAAGATTGGCCCATCTGGGCTTCTGTCCGTGCTGTTCCCCTCCCTGAGAAGTCACGTCCTCCGCCATGCAGAGGCTGCAGCGCCCTCGCTGCTCTCACGCCTGTTTCAGAACCTGGGCGGGTGCTGGCGGCTCGGCCTGGCCCTTGCGTACTGCACCTGTGTCAGGAGCCCCTGCCGCTGCTGCCTCCCGGCCTTCACCCCGAGAGACGTGTGGGAGACGCAGGGTGCCCTCGAGGACCCTGAGAGTCAGCCTTTACCTGCAAACAAGCAGGAGACGGGCGAGTCGGTGGGAGGGAGTCCGCCTAGTGCTCTCCGTTCCCCAGGCAGAACCCCAGACGCAGCAGTGAAATCCGTCTGCTGAGCGCGCTGATGCCCTTCCAGGTTCTGTGACCGAGACGGTCACCTGCAGAAGGGGCTTAATTTACATCTGTGTTTGTTCACCTCTTGGGCAGACTTGAGAAAAACAGAAATTAACTCTGCTGGGTGCCTGCGGCTGTGTTGCTGGTATCACTTTCACCTTTGGCATCGATTTATATAGGAGATGAGGTCAATGTCTCCCTCCGCGGGGCTCTGTCAGGAAGGGAAACCCAAGGCCGCTTTAGGAGATCCTACTCTGTCTGCAAAGATTTCATAGGTTCTGGTGCTTTGTGTGGACTGACTAGTGATGGTAATAAGGACCTTTAGATTTCTTGGAATATTGTTATCTTATTATTAGTTGATTAGTATTTTTCTTACTGAAAAGAAACCAATGAAGCATCTTCCTAAATTTCAGATGCAACCTTTTATGAGGATGTCTTTTAAGATCATGCTTGCGTCCAGAGTCCAGATCCTGACCCTGAGCAGTACCCCGTGAGCGCCTCACAACTTTCTCTGCCAGTTAGTATTTTTCAACTTATGTGAGTCGTGAAGCCATCAAAACTATGGGACGGAATCACTTAATGGTAAAGTAAAAAATAGAAGCCTCTGCTTTAAAACATTGACGCTATAAAAAGATCAGTTTGCCTCTCCCCGTGAATTGAAGACGCTTTCGGCAAACCTCACAGAGAACACTGGACCGGGGCGTGAGGAAGCGCCAGGCCCACTTACACGTGCCGACATCGACCTGTTATTTTACTGCAGTCCAGTCTTCCCATCCAGTCTGCCGACGGCACTGGATTCAAGCGCGTGTCCCTCAGGCTTCCATTGGCAGCACCTGTTCCCCCACCGCTCTGGCCTGGGGATTATACTTCATACCGTGCAAATAACAAGGCAGAGGGGGGGTCGTGCATTTGCCTGTGGGTGAGTCTCCTTCCGTGCGCTGGACACCGGCGGTCCTCGTGTCTCCGGGAGGCCATGTTCCCTAGACCTCCGTCTCCCGAGACTGCTCCACGATCCCGCCCGCGGGCTCCCAACTGCATGGGCGTCATGAAGCCCACGGAGGGACGTCTGCAGGCCAGAAGACCCAGAAGCTAACACGGCTCCATTCCCTAGTCATCTCGCCAACCCCCCCCCAACTCACTTCGAAAAATAAACAGCTAAAATAACACGGATTCTCCTTACTTGTCCCACATTTTACCTCATGGTACAATCAGAATCCGGGGAATCACCAGACCGGAGCTGCGCATCCCTCCGGGTCCCCCTTCAAGCCCGAACCTCGCCCTTCTCATCCCGCGTCCCGCCCCCTGCCCCGCTGTCTTGGTGGCTTCTGTCTCCTCACGCAACCTGCGGAAGAAGGACTCACCGACAGCATGAAGACGTACTTTCTCCGAGAAATTTCGCCCATCGTTTTGCTTCTCTGACAACTTCCTTCTCTGATAATTCAGAATCGCTGCGGCTATTCCGATCGGCCTGTGAACGCACGACCTCGACGGCTGGCTGCCTGATCCGCTCGTGAATCTTCCGTCAATGACCATCCTTTACACACTTCCGCCTCCCGCGTCTCTCTCTCTGGTAGAATAAATTTCGCCTTTTTGAGTTTTAAATCAGAGCTTCTGGGTCCTTTGACACTCGTGTCTTCCTGGACCTGGCGACTGAGCTCGCACAGCTGGGGGTCAAGGTTCTGCTCGGGGTGCAGGTCACGCTGCACTGTCCTTTCCTCTAACCCAATGACGCCGGGCGGCCCAGCGATATTCTGGCTTCTCTGATCGAATGTCCTTCCTTTGCTTGTATTGGTGCCAGAGACTCGGTTCAGTGAGTGACCTGTGGCCCCGCACCCCAGTCCCCTCGGTCACCCCACGCCTGTGTCCCGGCGGTGACATGCTCAGTGCTCCGTGCTTGGGATGACTCCCTGCCGGTCACCTGCCCTGGGCCGCACCCCCGGGGGCTCTTCAAGGCCATGACCAGGGGATGTGAGCCCACTCGCTGGCTCTTCCCCTGCCCAGCCCGGTCTCTTGGTCCCTGGTGTGTCCACTCCTCACATTCCCCATGGACCCGGCGCCCAGCCCTCACCCCACCCAGGTCGGCGGGTCGCAGGCCCAGGGAGGAAGCGTTCAGGTCACGTCATCCAAAGTCGGGAGGGCACTGACTGCGCACTGCAGAGTCTCCCGGGCTGCCGTCCACAGCCAGACCACCCCGTGCTGTCGCCTGAGGACCGTGAGGCACTGCCCGAAGGACACCCGTGCCTCGGGCTCCAGGCCAGCCCAGCGCCCATCCGCCGGCCAAGAGCAAGCGCCCACCTTCGCGACACCGAGGCTGCAGCCGGGTGGCCCTCAGGGAGGCCACCAGCGCGTGCTGCCACGCCACTCCCACGGGCGCCGGAGGCCAAAGCAGACTCGCTGCCCTCTCCAACCGCGCTCAGCGCTGCCGCCCGCGAGCTCCGGTCAGTGCTGATGAGCGATGCCAGAGCTGAGGGGCTCGGAGTCTCTGCCAGTGACTCGCTTTCTGCCCTTGGCTCCTAGCTTGGCCGGCCACTAGATGCCAGTGCCCGGGAGAAGCCTGGGGGCCGCAGGCTTGCTCGGCATTTCTGTGCTGTTTGGCATTTCTGACAGAAAGGAACAAACGTGCTGCGTGCCTGGTCCCGCCCTGGGGTTGGGAATGCGTTCAGGACAGCGGCATATTCAGGGTCACAGTAGATCCCGCCCACAGCTTCTCTCTCGGTGTCTCTGTCCATGCCCGTGTTGCCAAGGGGGGCCGCATGCTCTGGGGCCCCGGTAATCTCCAGGAGCAGGTGGGTGATGCCGTCTCTGCCCATGACGATGCCCTTGTAGCCCCTCAGCCCCTCCGTGGCAGAGACTAGGAGGAGGCCCCGCTGCTCACGGCCACCCTTGGCTGTGCCCGGCCCCCCCAGTGAAGGGCAGCCGGTGGCCCTGACCCTGCGCCCAGGACGTTGCCACGGGCAGCAGCTGTGGAGTTTGATGCGCGACAGCCCTTGGGCCCACATGGGATCCGGCCTTAGCTGAGCCCCAGCGAGGCCGGCAAGGCTTCTCCCTCATCTCTGGCGACAAAGCAGGATGATAAAGTCACTTCACCACATTTGTAAGTTAACTCTGGGGCAGAAAATTGTCCTTTGAAAAATCCACAATCGTTTCAATTATCTTCTTCACTGGAGACTTCAGTTGATCCAGACATGAACCAAAAGTAGCCTTTCACCAGGACAGCGCGCGTCCCAAGCCGCAGCCACGCGTCCTTTCCGAGAGACGTGGGCCCTTTCTGCCCGGCCCAGCGGGTTCTCAGGAGGGGCGAAGGCAGCAGCACTTTCCCCCAAGCTCAGGGCCGCGGGAGGCCCCCACCGTGGAGCAGGCGGGCCTGGCGCCTCCACGCCTCCCGTGAGTGACTTAACCCCCCCAGCCAGGCTGCTCTTCAAAGGAAATTGTTCTCATGGTCGTGTGTGACCTTTAGTAATTATGCTGCTTTCTTTCATCACAGGTGACGTATGAAATTATTGGAGCCATTGAAAAAAATAAAGACTCCCTGTCACAGAACCTTCTATTTGTAATGAAAAGTAAGTTTCTCCCTCCTAAGGTTAAAAAGCCACCCATTTATCACCTCCCTGACTCTGAGTATTGTCCTATAAAATACGCAACCAGCTAACGGACCGCGGAAATATCATTTGCATTGTAAATGTCCAGAATCATAAGGAAGAACTCTTGCCACACTAGACACTGGTTGCAATTTAAGGTGAACTATAGTAGAAACCATGACTTAACTAAGCTCTTAGCAGATAGAAACATAAAACACCGTTGCCACCTCCGAGATATGAATGTAAAAATGCTCCTCAGTGAAGACTAATAAAGATGAATCTGACCCCCAAGTTATTTAGAACACAGCGGGGTGAATTTTGTGACTTAAGACGACTCTGGGACACGTAGGGGTGTTATTTTATTCTTATCTACTTTACATTGTAAAGAACAATATTTGAGCAGTAGAAGGAGCACACAAACTATATTTCCCTGCACCAGTATCTTATCTACAATGTCTCATGTCCACGTATGCATTTATTAGTATGAATATGTGGGCTCCGTCTGCTTGGAGACCCGCAGCACCTTGATGCATAACACGCCTGTAACCCCGTGCAGCATGCAAAGCTGCGTCCTCTCTAAGGCATCATTATCTGTCTTCTCTAATAATTATTTTCTTAATAGTCGTTCTGCAGTGATTCACATTTTCCTGATAATCTTTTCAATGAATTATAACGTGTCATCTTTTGTGCTTTAAGTTGCTGTCGATGAGATGGAGTCATTTCTCTTTCCCGGGAAAGGCGCGTGATAGCCTTCCTGAAAGAGCTGGGTGCCCCGAGCTGGAAATGACACATCTGTATCACTCTGGGCTCCAGGACCTTATTTACTGTAAACCCAGCAGCAGAGCTACAATATAGTGTTTTCCACGGGGACTGGCTCTGCCACCCTCCCAGAGCTTCTGGCGAGTGGGCGATCTCTGAAAGGCTGAGACTGGTGATAAAAGCGTGGCTTGGAAAAAGATCCTGAAGAGAGAGAATTTAAATAATCGGCCCTGCTGGTCATCACCGGCATGCGTTCCTGGGGCCTTCAGCACGTGAACGCCCAGTGCAGTGTGCCCACGCCAGCAGCTGTGGCACACGTCCAAAGCCACGTGACACCCTTTCCTTCTTCCTCTATTTCGTGGCTCTGGCCGCGTCCCTGAAATGAGGGTGTGACACGACGGTTCTGCTGCAGAGCCCTGTGTTGTGAAGCGTCCACTCGCTAGCCCATTCCAAGAGAAAACACACGTGTCTTGTTCTCTTGCGAGTCCTTTACGCTCTGCATATATCTGAGCCAGAGAGCAGGGCCCCCAGCGTACCTTATCGCTTACACATGCTGCCGTTTTCCAGGAAGGGCCTGGACATACGTCTCTATTGCACAGTCTCTGTAGCAACTGTCCACTCTGCTGTTCGGATGAGAAAGCAGCCGCGGATGAGGCACGTGGATGTGCTGGGCCCCAATAAAACTTTATTTACAGGGCCTCCCTGGTGGTGCAGCGGTTGAGCACCAGGTTGCGTAGCTGCCCGCAACCTCTGCAGCGCCGGTTCGATCCCCGGCTGCTCCCCGGCCACCGGAGGAGGGTCCCACATGGCGCGCAGACCTCTCCTGCCGCCCGCTGCTCCCCTCAGCAGTGTCCTTCGGTCCTTCTGCCTGCTCTGCTCCCCGCTCTGGCTCTGGTGAATTCTCTCACCCTCCCGCGCTTCTGACTGTGCCCAGTGCTTGTATAAATAAATAAATAAAAATAAATTTTTATAAATAAAAATAAATCTTTTAAAAAAAAAACAACTTTATTTACAAAAACAGGCAGTGGGTGAATCTGACCCATGGGCCACAGTTCCCCGCGCATGCTCCCCTATAAACAGAAGATGCGTGGTGGCGAAGGTCATTTATAAACCTGTGGAATGTTTTGAGGCCGTGAAGAGTTATTTCTTGCACGCAGTATAGTGCACATACAGTAAATTCTGTCCCCGGGTGCTTTGCTAAGTGCTGTGCTCGCAGGATATAACCCAAGCCTCAGACCATCACGGGGCTCCTGGCTGGGGACGGGGGGCAGCTGCAGGTGCCTTGTACTGCGCCATGCCTGGGAAACCCTGGACACAGGGAGGAGGACCCCGGCCCAGGGCAGGAAGGTCAGGACAGGCCGTAAATTCGGGGAGTGAGCCAGGCTGAAGGGGAGGGAGGCGCCTGGGGGTGCTGGGGGTTCACAGCCTTGCCCGAGGAGCGGGCTTCCTGCTCGTGGTTTTAATGCCGCTTCAAATAGTCGCTTCTTTCTTTCTTAGCCAGTGACAACGTCGTCATCAATCACTTGTTCCAGTCAAAACTGTCACAAACAGGATCCCTCGTGTCTTCTGCTCCTGCCTTTAAATTCAGAGGACAGAAGCCCGGCCTGCTCAGCAAGAGAATGACAGCTCCTTCAGTTATCGGAGAAAACAGGAATTATCTAGAATTTAATAAGGTGGGAGATCCTCTGATTCTTATTTGGGATTTTTAGCTTTGCTTAGCGTATTTGCTGCTGCTTTTATTTAAGGAAAAAGCAGAATTCTGAATACACACGGAATGAATGGCTATTTTAATCCTGTGGTGTTGTAAACCCGTGCTCCTCCCTGCCCTCTGTGACCGCACGACACCTGCCTCAGTTTCTCCTCCGCGACCGTCTCTCTGATGAATGAGAAGTAACTTCAGAGACAGTAGCTTAGAGGGAATAAACTTAGCCACGATATTCAGCTGACATTAGTCTCTCCGAAGCTGTAGGTGTCTAAACAATAAACTGCAGTTTCTCTTATTGACGTCATGGTTTTCCAGGTCCTAGAAGTTTTCACATCATATTTTGTTCTTTCTAACTTATTTTCATGTTATTTCCTTTTGATGTGTGTTTGTCCCACAAAGCGTGGTTCTAATTAAAACCTCAAGCTTCTGATTGTAAATTAGAACTGAAAAAACTCCAGGGAGTCCTCTTCGAGTGATAGGAAACGCCTGGGAAGGCCTGAGTTGAAGCCAGTCTCTGCCCGGAGCCCAGTTTGCTTTGCTTCTGCCAAAGCCGTGGCCACCGAGAGATGGGGTGGGGCGGGGTCCAGGGCAAATTCAGGAGCCGGAGTTTGCTGGTGTGCGTTTCAGCTCACCAATTAAAATAAAAGCGTAATGAAAGTCAGCTCTGCTAGGAGAGCGCAGGTGCGTGCAGTGTATTAGGGGTGTGTGCGTGTGCGTGTGCGTGTGCGTGTGCGTGTTGATAGGATTGCTCCAGAGCTAGATGATTATGGGAATTCAATCTCACCACATACAAAATGGCATCTTTTACATTAAACAGACCAAAAGCTAGCCTGTGCGAGGAAGCACCGTTCCTGGGGCTCTCTCTGAGCCTCTGGCCAGGCCTGTCTCAATCATCCTGGAATTCAAAAGTTAGAAACCAGCACACACCTCTAAACTGTAATTTTTAACTTAATTATTAAACATTACCAAGCAGAGATGCCATTAGTCTGCTCCCCAGAGGACAGCCAACGAGGGAGAATCCGCACCCATTTCCTCCAGCCAGAAAGGAAACTGCGTGCTCCGTTCCCACGGCTGGCGATTTATTTACCACGTCTTCCCTAAGGGTCCGCCCTCCGGCCTGCCAGCCCTGCCCTCCCCTGTGGCCGGCGGGACTGGGCTCCTCCCGCACTCGAGCCAGCTCTCGATTCCACTTGTGTGTGCACAAGACAGGTGGATCTCGGGCCAGCTGCTTCCTCTGACGTGCCCTGTCAGCTCCGATGCATCACTCCTGCTGACAGCTCATCTTGATGGAGGAAAATGAGCGACGGCCACAGCAGCAGCGGCACCACGTTGACAAGAACGTGATAGCAGGATGTTTTCCCTGTGAAGACCGTTTTACCTCAAGACAAATGATCTTGGATCCGTGCGTGTGTCGGTCACAGCTGCGGGGCGTGGTGGGCCGCGGTGGGGCGTCAGCCCACGTGGGGTGTGATTCACTCACTGGCTCTGCCCGTCCCGCCTCACTCACCGCCAGCTCCGACTGTCTCCTTTGCTTTCCATTGTCATTTTTCCTTTGATACGCACCATTTTTTTTTCTTTTAAGAGCTGTATATAATTGCTTATTGCGGAAAACACCATCTGTTGTCATTTTCCACAGACAGTAACTTACTAACCCCTCTTAGTAGTTTATAATAAAGAAGAACAGGAAGGGAAGGAGCCGATCAGGTGAGAAGCTGATGCTGGTTAGACTCAGAGGAATAAACCGATGATTCTTAAAACATGCGACCTCTGCAGCCTCACTCAGCCGCCAGAGCCGGCGGGAGGCCCGTGCGTGCCGCGACACGCGTCGGCCGCCAGCCATGGGGCCGCCATGGCAGCTCCTGCGCCACCGGGAGAGGCAGGGCCCAGGGGTGTTCTCAAGTTTAAAAGGGGTGCAGGGATGGGACCTGTGTCCCCACAGTGCCCCGGGCGTGGCAGCCTGGCAGGAGGCTGTCACTGTCCACGTCCCCAGCTACGGTGCGGAACAGAACCACGGGGGCCACGTTCATGGCTGGTTTGAAATCTGTGTCTGCCGGGAGTGGCACGGGGTGGGGGGTCCGTTTCTCTTCTAAAGGGGAATTCAGTGAAACAGGGTTGTCACCTTCCTTTCTCCACTTCCACTGCAGTTATTAAGAAAGAAAGGAACGTCCGCGTTTCTCCAGAGACTGCAGTGGGGCGGTCCGGCCACCATCGGCTCGCAGCTCAGGGTCAGTGCGGGCGCGGCTTCCGGCACGTGGATGCGGGCATCTTAACTAGAGGGGGGTAAACGTGGACCCGGTCCCATTCGGGCAGCCTGCAGGGCGCCGCCGCAGCGGGCGCGGGTGTGTGAGAACCAACACGGCGTCTGCCGTCTTCTCCGAGGCGTCACCCGGTTTCTCTCTCCCCAGAGGTCGCTGGAGGAGCTCGCCGGGAGGCTGCAGGGGTGCACACCCCACTTTGTCCACTGCATCAAGCCCAACAGCTCAAAGCGGCCGGATGCCTTTGACAACTTCTACGTGTCTGCTCAGCTGCAGTATGTCAGGGTGCTGGACATGGTGAAGACCGTCCGATACGGGTACCCCGTCCGCCTGTCCTTCTCCGACTTCCTGTCCAGGTAAAGCCTGTCCCTGAGGGTCTCGTGTGGCTGTGACGCCGCTGCAGGGTCTCCTCTGCCTTCACCCTCGCGGCTGTTGCTGTTGGGTTCTGCTCCCTGGAGCCAGCCGGGTGCCCCGCGCAGTGAGAGGACCACACAGCTGCGTGACCAGCCGCTTCGCTGCCCTCCAGGCGGTGCCTGGGGACTGCTCCAGCCCCTTGAACGTGTGGCTCTGCAGGACTATGTTTATAAGTCACATGTTATATTAAGTAGTATGTTTATTTGTGATACAACTGCTATAACTAATTTATAGTATAACAGCACATAAGAGAAGAGCATAAAAGGTTCTTTTTTAAAGAACATTTCCTCTTTCGATCTGTGAGATAAGGGCTTGGCGGGCTGCCCTCGTGACCGAACCCAGCCCAGCACGGTTGTGTCCTGCTGGCCACGCCACCAGCGTAACCAGAGAATGTCTCTCTGGACAACCCAAGACTGAAAGTGTGGGGGAAAGAACACCAGAAAGCGTCGGGTAGCGCTGTGCCAAAGGACAAGGCTTAAAAATAACAGTACTGACGTCCACGTAGCAGTTACGGTGAAAGCTACTGCCCCGTTAGAGCTGACCCGCCTCCGACGACAGAAAGTCTAAGACGGTCACGCGCCGGCCGCCGGCACACCGCGTGGCTACGCTGCCGAGGAAAGCAAAACCAGCCAGCCCAAGGCTTTTAATCACTTGTGGGAAATAGTCTAGGACAAAAGATAGAACGTTAAAATATGATTGAAATGCTGTGTTCGGTTTTTATAGTATTTGTTTTTCTAGAGGAAAAGGGTAGCGGTTGCTGGGCCTTTTGGTCAAGTTCACGGAGATCGAGGAACTAGTGAAAATCACGTGAGGCTGCCGGAGCCTCCATCTTAGAGGGGCGCTGTAGACGTTGCCAGAAGTGAGGGATAAATTCTTCCGTATCCTCACCTTAGCCACGTGGGGGGCGATGTCTGCTGCGGGACGCCCTTCAGCGGCGCGGGGCGTCCATGTGCGCAGGCTCAGGAGGTGCTCGCGGGCCTGCGGGGAGAGGCGCAGAGCCGGGGCCCCCAAGCCCTGCCCCCGGGGACAGCGCTTCCTGCACTGAGGAGACTTTGGGGAGCACACCTCTGGGCGCCCCTCTCCTCCCTGGGCGAGCACCCCCCACACCTGCGCTTGATCCGGGTGTGTTTGCTTTGGCAAGTTTTCATCACTAGCAATTCAGTGGGGAGCTTTGACAATCCTCCGTGTCTTCAACGCATTTTATCTTTTGAAAATATCTGTTAGCCTGGCAGTTCCCCTATCGCTGCCGTTTCTGGGCCGGCGGGACTGACCGTTGTCTTTATTGCAGACCACAGGCCCCTTCTCTGCCGGGCCGTGGGGGTTGGATACAGGCACCGTGAATTTTATTTTTCAGGTGGAACATACGTTTGGATTTCTATGAATGTTCTTGAATTGGCCTAGGAAACACTTGAGTCGCTTGGAAGTAGTTTGCTTTGAGAGTTTGTTTTCAAGCTTCGATGGGGGAAGCAGAATTCCCTCCTGGTTATCTCACGCCTTGTGCAGGACGACCCTGGGGTCTTCCCCTCCGGCCGGCGGGACAGACTCTGCCTTTCGGGGCTCACCCTGGGGCCCCCACTCGTATGCTGCGTGTTCTCTTCCAGGGGAAGCTGATAGATTCCTGGCCAGCGTCCCGCTGGGTACTTGGGGGGCCCTGAAGACCTCCGGGGTCTTTTCTCTCTGATTGCTCTGTGAACTCAAGCTACCTTGACGTCCCTTCTCCCCCAGCTTCATCTCCCCAACTCAGGGAGGGGCACCCCCTCTTTGGGTCTCGCCTAAAAGAGTCAAGCTGGTCAGTCTTCAGACTTGCCTCATTTGTTTCTTGTCTCTTGGGGATCACGGCCTTCATGTCGGGGGTCCGCGGCCTAAGAACTACCACGTTATCACACGTGTTCTCCAGTCAAGCTGCTGGAGGCCGGGCGGCACAGCTAGTCACTGTTCCTCCATCTCGCCTGCAAACAGGAGGCTTTTTTTTTTTTGGTTTCCCGCTCGATGGGCTCTGTGTTGGATGCTTCCTGTACCTGTAATCTGTTCTTCTAATCGGGGGCATCCCAAAATGATAGTATTATTTCAAAACTTATATTTTTCTAAGATGGTTTTTAATAGCTGGGACAGTGGTCTGCTTTACTGCCGGATATTCCGATTGTGTGTACCGACTTTCACTCCACAGACCTATAGCTGTGTGCAAAAATTAACACATAGCAGCTGGTATTGTATAAAGTGATGATGCTAGGCCGGAGTTCGGGGTAGGAAGTGGGGGCGAATACTGTATTTGTTTGAATGTGCATGGGGTTTTAATGAAGCTAAAATTAAGCACATTAGAAATGGCCCAGGAAGCTGATGACTTTCCATTTTCCACTCTTACTTTGGGAACGCATGGCTTGGAAGCGTCTATGACCAAAACGGCCAGAAATGCATATTTATGTGCAGGGGTATGGAGACTAGTGAACATTCCTTCCCTCCCCCCCACCAAATAAAGAAAAGAAAGAAAGAAAGAAAGCTTTGACTCAAGAAAAAAAGCGCCACCTGCTTTGCCCACAGAAGAATCTGAAAGTTAGCCGGGGGCCTCCCCGGTGGCGCAGCGGTTGAGCGCTGGGTTGCGAGGCTGCCCGCAGCCTCTGCAGTGCCGGTTCGATCCCCGGCTGCTCCCCGGCCACTGGAGGAGGGTCCCACGTGGTGCGCAGACCTCTCCTGCCGCCCGCTGCTCCCCTCAGCAGTGTACTTCGGTCCTTCTGCCTGCTCTGCTCCCCGCTCTGGCTCTGGTGAATCCTCTCACCCTCCCACGCTTCTGACTGTACCCAGTGCTTGTATAAATAAATAAATAAATCTTTATTTAAAAAAAAGAAAGAAAGAAAGTCAGCCGGAAACCTCCATTCTCTTATCGGTGATCAACTGGTGCTTTACCAGGGAAACCCTGAGTCATAAACAATGCTTGCAGTATCTCAAAATTTAATAAGGAGCAAGGAGAAGAGGATAACTTTTCCAAAGAATCTCACATTTCTCACGGTATCTCAGAAATCTTTACAGTCATCATTACCAAAAATATTGCTCTAATCAATACTGGACATTTACAGAATTAGGCTCAAAATCAAGAGTTTCGGTGCCTCTGGTCTTCACCGTCAACATCCCTTTTAGTGCCGGTGGCCATGTGAATAGACTGAGGGAAAATGTGAAAAAACAGGAATTTTGAGGGTAGAAATGGCATTTCTTAGTGGTGATAACCGTGGACTTGGAACGGGGAGAAGTGGAGATAGTTTTGAAAGGCCCAGTGTGGGTTAAAGTGTGGGCACGGGTGCCCTCAGCCATGGAAGGCACTAGAAGACAAGAGAAGCTTCCGGCCAGGGCTGGGTGTGGGGCCGGGTCCTGAGCGGAGCCCATGCTGCGGGGGTGAGAAGAGGAGGGTCCGCGTCTGGAAGCCAGAGCTGCCGGTGGACCCTGGGGGGGTATGGGGGGGACGGGGGGCTGGGAAGGCCGGGGCTGGAGCCGGCGGACGCAGCGTGGTGACAAGAGGCGGGTGCGGGCAGGATCGAGACCAGGCAGCAACCCCAAGATTTCCCAGAGTGGGTGATGTCGAGCTGGGTCTTGAAGACCATTTCGAGTGGGCAGGAGAGGAGCCGGCCTTCGTGTCCTGGCTCAGAGACTGTGGACGCAGCAAAGCAGCTTGAGCCAAGAGGTGGCTCCACTTCAGCCACCGGCTCGGGGCGGGGGGCTCCCGCTGAGACTGGGGTGCTTGAGCAGACGTTCTTTTTGGTTCAAAGAAACAGGCTGTTGTGGCCCCTGCTCATCGCGGCTGTGGCCCAGCACTGCTCCTGTGGGCCTGGGGGGGACAGCCCCTCGTGGAGGAAGGGCGGGTTCTCGCCACCCCCTGCTCCCTTCCAGGCCCGACCTGGGGGGTCAGAGGGCAGCGGGACCCTCCTTTGCCTGCCTCCGTTATCGCAGCCCAGCATGTGGCCACGCGGGGGGGCAGGTCCTGAGTCCGTGAGTGTCCCGCACACCGCGGCTTCCTGTGCAGAGGAGGGTCCGGAGCAGAGGCGGGTGGAGCTGCTGCCGTGCCCGGGGAGGCTGCCAGGAGGGCGGCTGCGTGTGCACTGCACCCCGGGGCTCGCTGGCCTGGGCTCGCCGCCCTCTAGCTCGTGAGCAAAGAGGTGCTGCTGCGTGGCACAATGACGGTGAGGTCAGGCCGGCTCTAAGCTGGAGAGCTCCGTCGTGTGACTTCTCAGCCGACGCTCCATCTCATTTCCCGCTGCCCAGCGGTACCCGCTTCCCGGGCAGAGGGAAGTTCACGCGCTTTGTTGCTGCTGGGACGAGCGAGCGGCCTCAGGAGCCCAGGAGGGGAGACACCGTGTCTGTGAGCTTTGCGGGGAGACGGTTCGGCCGTGGACACCCAGGCTCCCGGGCCGTCCGCACCTGGCAGCCCGTGGGCGCCTCCACAGCTGGAGCCGAAGACCACGAGCTCCTGCCACAGAAACCACCAGGCCCTCCTGGTGCTCAGGTGAGGGGAAAGAGGGGGCCACATGCCTGGCGCTGACCAGCCGTTCCGAGAGCCTTGCGGGCACCCCCGAGCCCCCTTAGTCATCCAGTCAGCTCCTGCCCCCCCTCAGGGTCTCTGCCAGGGACAGCGAGGCTCAAGGTGGCTGCTGCGTGTAGGGTCTTAGCAGAGAAATGCCCCACAGATCTGACTGAAGACATGAGAACAACAGCGTGTTACCAGAATAGTAGCAAAACGATACTCAACACCCCAAAAAGGCCAGGGCTGAGGGGGGGACCCAGCTGTGCCCGGAAGACTTGCAGTTCGAGGACGAGGCTGGCGTGGGGGCTGTGCTCGACTCCCCGTCTCCCCAGCGTCCCTCACGACGCGTGGCTGCCACGGTCAGCTGCGTCCGCCCAGCTCCCGCACGCGGGCTCGGGTCTGCGGTCACCCCGCCCCACACTCGTTAGAGAAACCGGAGGAGACGCAAGTGTCGGGTCCCAGGCGCGCGTCCTGCCCCACTGCGAACAGCAGCTGAACTTTTCACGGAGCTTCTTTAAGTGCATTCTGGGGCCGAGTGAGGATTCGGGGGAGTGGAAGCACCAGCGTCCCATCGCACCTGGACTTTACAAGGCTCTGAGGGCCTCGGCCCCCTCCCTGTCGCATTGTGCACCCAGACATCAGGGCACCCCCAAGCCATCCCTGGCCCCCCAGAGCAGCAGGCGGACTGTGGGTATGGGGTATGTCACCCCCCTGCTTCTCCAGTTCCCCGCTCCTGGGTGCTGCAGCCGGGACGCCCCGGCACCCCCTCTCAGAGACGGCAGGCATGGCAAGGTCGGCCTGCACCAGGGCAGAGGCCGGGGCAGTCCTCGTGGCGTGATGGGAGGACCCGCCTGTCGCTGAGTCCTGAGGGGATCCACTGAGCACTGAGGAGAGGGTCCTGGCGGCTGTGAAAATAAGCTTAAACTGAATTCCAGGCCAGAATAACCAGGAGGCTGAAGAGCCATCGCCAGACACACCCAACACCCTCCCTGCCCTCCGGCCCATGCTCAGGAAGAGGCCGTGGCTCGAGGCGTGACAATGGAGACAGCTGGGCCGTGGCAGTGAGGGCTGAAGGCAGAGGCCACGGCAGGTGGAGACCGAGGGCAGGGCAGGGGGCAGCGTGTGATGCGGAGGACCTGCAGGGGGCGGCGCCCTCAGGATGGGCAGAGACACGCGCTTCCCTCGGCCCCCGAGGGGACCAGGGAGACTGGTCCCCCGCACAGGACCCTCCGCGGGACGGGACAGGCCTGCAGGGTCCCGTCGAGAAGGGACAGAACTGTGGGCCTCGCAGTGGCCTTTGTGCAGAGGAGGTGACTCGGGGCTTCCTCTCCTCTGGCTCCTGCACCAGGGGCTGCAGCGCCTCTGCAGCGCCTCCGCCCCGCCCCCTCTCCGCAACAGAAATAGACCGAGCGCCTCTCTCCAGCCCACCTGGGCCTTCCGCCTGGTCCTCGGTACCCTGATGTAGGTCAGCCCGTTGCTAGGCAGCTGTTTCGCAGCCGCCACTCAGCGCTGGCGCAGAAGAGCCCCTTGGAGGGAGGGAGCACCTGGCCGGGGCCTCGACCAGGGCAGCTCGGAGGGGCCGGAGGCCGGCCAGGGCCAGGGCCTGCACCCAGCAGCCCAGGACACACGGAGGGCGCGTCCAGAAGGGCCTGCACCCTCATCTTCTGGGAGCCAACACGGAGGGACGCGTGACTGGAAACGTCGGTGTTGTCCATCTCTGTGGGTGCCGCCTGGAAGCTTTGTGGGTGCCTCCTGCCTCGGAGGACGACACCCCAAGGCCTATTCTGCTTGTGTTAGTTGCATCCTGTGTCTGGGGTCATGGGCTCACACCCCCATGCTGTCTGTTTCAGCCCAGGAGACTCTGCCCGGCCTCAGCCATCACCCTGAACCCTGAAGTCCCCCACCCCTTGGCTCCAACTCTGCTGCCCTCAACAGGGGACGCCTTTCAAGCCCCTCCCCTGCTCCCCTGTTTCCCCTTCCCCAGCTCTGCTCGGCTCTCTGGCCCCCTCGTTGCTCCAGCAGCTGGCTCCGCCCTGCCCAGGGCGTCTGTGCCCTCGGTCCCTCAACTTGGACTCCTGTCCCTGCGGAGCCCGCACCCACCCCCGACGCTTGCCCACAGTGGAGGCTCCGCAGCTGCCGCACTGCCCTTGCTCCCGGCCCTGCCGAGGCCCCTTCTCCAGCGCCCACTGCCCATGGTCAGCGCCAGGTGTGAGCGTCCGTCCTGGGCACATGTCTGTGCCCGGTCAGCGTCGGCCGATGCAGTGAGTGAGCCTGAATGACGAGCCTGGGGCCCCTCACGCCCCTCATGTCGGGCGACGAGGCCGGGCTGCAGGAGGTGGCGCTGCTTCTGCCAGCCGGGCGCGTGCTGGTGCCCCTGGGCCGCGGCCTCGTCCCCAGCGGGGCTGGAGGGACAAGGAGAGCGGGAGCTGCCCAGGACACGGGTGCCCCGCCACCCCGGCGCCGTCACCGTCCGTCTCAGCCCCAAGTTCCCGGGACGGCTTGTCTTCGTGCAGGCGGCGCCGGGACAGCGCGCCACGGACACGGGCGTCCCGAGGCCCAGCGGCTGACGGCGCGGACGTGGAGCGCCTCCCGAGCTTCAGGGGACGCCTGTCTCCCGTCGGGACGTCAGAACCGCGGCGTCCCAGATGTCAGGAGAGCAACACCAAGCGAGGACGGAAGCTCCCTCCCGGGCGAGTTCTGTTCCCACTTGTTAGCCCTGCGTCCAGGTGCTTGGACGACGCCAGCTCAGTTCCTGGGTGTAATTAACGAAGTTCCAGAACGAGACGATTGTAAGCCAATAAAAGGCGGCTTGAGCCCACGTCTCCGTGCCGCTCTGGCTGGCGGCAGGCGGTGGGGCTGCCTGGTGCTCCCGGGGTCGGCGGCAGCCCTGGCTTCTGGCTCCCTGCTGCTGCAGCCGCCCCGGACGGGCAGAGAAGTGGACAGCAGTGACGCCAACCTCAGTGCTGCTGGCAGGAGATTGTCCTGATGTCTTTGAAAACCCCGCACCCTTGCCGTGCCCAGACCCCACCGGCCTTCCGGCCTTCAGACGAGGGTCGAGTCCCCGCCCTGGCTGCACAGGGCCGTGTCTGGTGTCCTCTCCTGTCTCTCTCCACCTCCTGGGCCCTGAGCCTGGTGCACGAGCAGACGCCCCTCGGAAGAAGGAGGGGCTGTGCTGGTGTCCACTGTGGGTCTGCTTGGGCCGGGGAGAGTGGCCGTTCTCAGCCCAGGAGGGACCTGCAGCGACTGTCCAGTGACAGCGCTGAGGATGTGAGAGGAGTAAGTGTTTGCTTCCGGAAGCCACCAGGCAGGTCCATTTTCTCAGTCGGTGTTCTCCGCCAGGCTGCCCGTGTGTGCCAGGCGCTCGGGCCCAGGGCCCCTGCAGGGGTGAGTGGGGAAGCACGCCCGCGGGGCTGCCAGGGCCTGCACCCCCTTGCCAGGTGGGGGCCACCTGAGGTCGCTGCGCCCTAGGTGCCCGGAGGGGGCACAGAACTCGTCCACAAGACCCTGGCTGGGGGGAGCCACTGTGGAGGCCATGGCAGGAGAAGACAGTAATGAAACTTCGGTGACTGACTTTTGGCCTTGCGCCCGCGGCTGTCAGCAGGGCCGTGGAGGCACAGTGCGGCCGGGTGCCGCCGGGCACGGCTCTGCACTGCTCTGCCCGCTCCTCCTCCTTGCCCCCCGCTTCCTGCCCGCCCCCTCCCCAGGCAGTTGTGCTTACGTGTCAGATTAAAGACCACAAGTGCAAAGAGAAACGTCACGTGGGTTTTCAGTAGTGATGTCAATTTGAAGGACATTTTTCAAAACCCACAGGAAACTATCGTAGTGGCAGGAATTTCTTGTGGGGAGTAGAAGTTAATATTCAGCAGAACTTTCCCCCGAAAATGTCCATCTAGAAGTAGATTCTCAGTGCCTGGCATGGAGACAGCCGCCCTGCCGCTCTCGTAGGTAAAACTTGCGGGTGTTTCGCATTCCCTGTTCTAGTCCTAACTGCGTCTAGATTTGTCCTCGGCGACAGCAAAGAAGGCGGGGGTTTCTTCGAGGTATTTTTAAGCGCATTCCAAGCTAGTCGCCGGCTCTGTCCTCGGGCTTCTTTGGGTGAGTGGATCCCACCCTTCCAGGCGGCTCCAGCGAAGGGGAAACACTCCTAGCCTGGCCGCGGCGTCACTGTCCGTGGAAGACGAGTCGCTCTCGCAGCCCTGCAAGCGGCATGGGGGCGGGGGTGCCGGGGCCGTCGTGGGTCAGTTGAGGATGGGAAACGAGGACACGCGTGGCGCGTGGTCCCGGGCGTGGCAGGCCCGTCACTGCCGTCTCGTCTCCTTCCCAGGTACAAGCCGCTGGCGGACACGCTCCCGGGCGAGACGGCCTCAGCAGAGGACACCTGCCGGCTCCTCCTCCAGCAGTGGAAGCTGCAAGGCTGGCAGGTGAGTGACCGCAGCCACCGCGGGGCGGGTTTAAGGTTTGCTTTGCTCCCTCGTTCCCAGTTTATCACAAAGGCCACACGAGGCCCACAGCACAGTCACTCTCCCTTATTCCCAAGGGTGGGGAGGCCTCCTGCCGGCGGTCCGGGCCTCCGACCCAAGTCCTGTTCTTCCCTTGCGTCCCTGGCGGGCCTTGCAGACTGGTGAGGTCCATCTTCCCTTGGCACGAATCGGACGCCCCTGGAGAGCCCTTGGGTCGTCAGCTGGGTCCGGGCCCCTGTTCTCCTGCGGCTGCTCACCCGCTCTGCTCGTCCTCACGTGGTCAGAGACGCCGCTCAAGTCCTGCTCCCTCTGGGGCGAGGCCATATGTCTGAGCCCGGCTCTGGCTCAGCTAGGTCTGCCCACCACACCTGACCCACCCGCGTCTTCCCGGGGCCCTCACGCCGCTATCCCAGCACAGAAGCCGGCAGCAGCCTGTGCCCACGATGGGCTTCGCTTGCAGCCATAGGCCCGTGCAGCTTCTAGTCTCGAGGGCCTGGTTGTCCTGGTATGTGTTCAACTGGTGCATGAAGAGGCCACGAGCTGACCACTGCCTGGTGGTGTCCTGTGCACGGGGCTGCCAGTTTGGTAACGGCACCCTTGGGTGCGGGTCTACCTGCGTGGGGGGAAGGGAGGGAGGAGGAGGAGGCCTGGGGAAGCTCGGACCATCTGCAGTGATGTCATTCTGTGCTGGGGGGCTGCAGTGATGTCATTCTGTGCTGCCGGGCCTCGGAGAGTGCCTGCAGGGCTGAGGCCGGGAGGCCGCCTCTGCTGTCAGTCCTTGCACAAAGGTGATTAGACAGCAGTTTTAAGACATGGTTTTTGGAGGCTCTGGAGAATCCACCATGCCTGACTTCGCTCACAGAACCCCCTGCTCCCCCACGTCCCCCAGTGCCCGCCGCCTCATCTCCAGCGTGTTCCCAGGTCACACACCCCTGCAGAGCTGTGGCTTGTCTCCTGCACTGGCTGTGGGCGCGCGTCAGGGTGTCCAGCGTGTGGGCATACTGGGATTCGTGTCTTGACCGGGGAGGATCCGTGTACATCGCTGGCCAGTGGGGCCTTGTCGATTAAAGGATCAACCAGACCGTGCTGGAGCTGCCGCACGGATGCACGGACACCTTGGCACTTAAAATCTGGAATAATTTACAATAAAAAAGCTGGCAGTGATAATATCAAGGGGATTCTCTTGAGACGATCATCAAAAGGAATTTTAGCCTGGATCTGGGTTTAGAAGATAAATGCTTGCACGCGTTACACCTGTGGTTTAAGTGGTTTTTAAACTTTATAGCTGCTCCTTGAGTACAGTCTGCGTTGCATAGTGGAAGGGGCTCAGCAGATTCTTTTACGTAAATAGAGTGGGTTTTGCTCTAAAACCTTTTTGCTGTCAATTAAGAAATAACCAGGGCCTCCCCTGGTGGCCCAGTGGTTGACAGCTGGGCGGCGAAGCTGCCCGCAGCCTCTGCAGTGCCAGTTCGATCCCCGGCCGCCAGCGAGGGTCCCGCATGGCGCGCAGACCTCTCCTGCCGCCCGCTGCTCCCCTCAGCAGTGTATTTCGTCAGTCTGCCTGTTCTGCTCCCCGCTCTGGCTCTGGTGAATCCTCTCACCCTCCCGTGCATCTGGCCTGTACCCCAGCTCTTGTATAAAAATAAATAAATCTTAAAAAAAAAAATAGAAAAAAAGAAATGACCAGCTGTGGGTCTCACATCACCAGCCTTTCCCTCCCCAAGAAATCATGCACTTTTTCAGGCTGGGACTGGCGAGTCTTGGCACCGCTGCCCGACGTCCCCCCAGCGCCCTCCCATGCCAGCCCATTATGTTTGGAAAAGTGGAGAAAGTCGGATGCCGTGGTGGCTGGCGAGGAGCCCCAGGTGACGGCCTGGCGTGTGCCCAGTGGAAGGACATGTTTTAAAGATGCGTCACAGCGATCTCTGTGAATTGGCCAAAGAGGAATGGAAGGTTCTAGAAAATATCTGCTAGAATTTCATAGCGCATTTCCAGGACTGTTTTCTATCTCAGCAGAGAGCTTTTTCTTTAAAAAATAGGGCGTTTGGGTATGACTTCATTTGTGGGAAAAATTCAAGCAGTTTGAATTAAGTTGTTGTCTGACAAGCTAAATTATTTAGGCCACTAGTTAGTAACCTTCTGCTATTTGTTTTGTGTTTTTTCAGATTTTTTTTCACCCAAATATATAGGTTTTTAGTTCAGTCCTACTTGAAGGTAACCCTGGAAATGACCCCTCCACGCCCACACACATTCGAGAAAAGGCTGTGGCGGGTCCCCAGCCGTGGGGCACAGTCGGCCTCATGGAAGGAGCTGGTGGGGTGTCCCGGGTCCCCAGCAGCGGGGCGCACCCGGGCCTCTTGGGACGTACTTGCGGGACGCCCGGGTCACGTGGAACGGCCTGGGGAGCCATGTTATGTCACTTCTGTAAAGTGGAAACTTTTGAAATGAATTCTAAGTGGAAACTAAATGGTATGATCTGATTTTCACACATTTTATATGAATGCACTGGTTCTAGGCTGGTTTCTTCTGTGTGCTGATCTGAGTGCTATATTCATTTTAAAGCCATCTGGACGCATGGCGAATGGAGAAACAAATCTGTCAGAGTCAGCTCCTGCGATGCCCGGGGTGCAATCCAGCGGGGGCGCGGGGGTGCGGGGGCTGCGGGGGGCAGTGGGGAGCAGGGGCGGCAGGGGGCGCGGGCACAGCCGGGGTCTCGTGGTGGTTTCCGACAGGCTCCTAGAGCTCTGGCCCGGGGGTGTTTGCGGACAGGAACTAACGGCCCTGGGGCCGTCGGACGCAGGTGTCCTGACCGCTGCTCTGGGAGCCGGGCCGGGCCATGGGGCTGGTCCCTTCGGGAGGACCTGTGTCCCCTGACGTGCCAGGGTGGGTGCGCACAGGCCCACGCCCAGCACCTCCAGGATGATGGGAAGGAAGAGGTGAAGTTAGCAGGCAGCGCCGCCTCGGCCACACGTGACCCACAGAGCGTGTGTGTGTGTGCGTGTGTGTGTGTGTGTGTGCGCGCGCGTGTTCACGAGACGGCCCCTCCGTTTTAATGAAACGAGCCTTTCCTCGCTGTGTTTATTCCCTCGCCGAAAATATTCCAGTAACTCTTGCCTTTGTCATCGTCTTGTCACATAATTCTCAAGGAAAGGCCTAGATTTCACGGTGTTTTTTACAGAATTGAGAATTGCAAGATTAACATTTTACCACAACATTAAATAAAATCAGCGGGTGAAGGATTTAGTGTTTCATTACTCCCTAGCAGTACAGGAGCGAGAAGCAAATAAAGGCAGAGCAGGGACCTGCGGGCTCAGCCCTCCCTGCCCGCGGAGAGGAGCCCCCGGCCGGGCGGCCAGAGCGGGCAGTGGATGGGTCCAGCCTTTGTCTCTCGAGGGGCCCTTCCGGAATGGGCTGCAGGCGGAAGGCCGACAGCAGCTGATGAGGTGGCTCTTCCTCCCGCGCTCCCCTCTTCCTCGGGAATTATTGGTGTTGAATGAAGCACCCACAGGGGCCGAGGCGCCTGTAACCAGGCGGTGGGGTGCTCCCGCGCCCCCTCCCGCCACGCCCGGTCCTGAGCACCTGTGTGCTCACCCCCAAGACCTGAGCACGACGCGGCCTAGGCGTGGTGTTCATCCCCATAAGAAACTTTAAAAATAGAAAAAATTGAAGGAGCAAATACAGACTTGCCGTAACCGAGGCGTCCGGCGAGAGCAGCCCGCGTCTGTGTCTGTTCCCTCGGCTGGCAAAACCCTCCTTGCAGAAGCTTCGCTCTCGGGCGGGCAGTGTTCTTCTGCCTGTCCCCGAGCGGGGCCGCGCACAGCGCACACTCCTGTTTCCCGAGTCGCGGCCCCCCGGGTCCCGGGCGTGGCGGGCGCTCGGCCAGGACCATGAGCGAGGGCTGCGCGGGCGAGCGAGGAGTGAGCCTCCTGGCTGTCGTGTCTCCCTCTGGGTGCAGCCACCGCAGTCAAGGCTTAGGGGCTCGGGTGACAGTTTCCTTTAAAGTGTGTGGAATTGTATCTTCCTCCTCTTCACTTTCTTACGCGCGGCATCTGGCACCGGGCGGTTTCTGCGTGACAACTAGCTGCGGCCCTTCCCGGCCCCTGTCCTCCCCGAGACCAGCCCATCTCGCGGAGTCCAGGGCGGTGGGCGGCTGAGTCAGCAGCTCTCGCGAGCACCCTTCATCCCCGTGATGCCAGCGAGTGTGAGGCCACGCGGGGCTCGAAGGCCACGCCCCCCAGGATCACTCTGTGTGTGCACGCACGTTGTGCATGTGTGTACGTACGGGGGCACGTGCATGCACACATGTGTGTGCATGTGTGTGCACGTATACACATGTGTTGTGGACTGTTTCTACTATCATTTCTGTGTTAACTAGGTTGAGGTGCTGCTAGAGCCTCCCACTTGCTTGCCTCTGTGTGTGCTCGTGCGCCACGTGTGTTCTAAGGCTCTGCCATGCTCTACAAACTGGGAATTACAGTTTTAACAAAAGAGCAGACCCAGTTGCAGGGGAGGATGCGAGAGCAGAGGCCCAGCACCTGCCTAGCAGCCCTCCGGCCCTCGCCTCAGTGCACTCGCAGCTTCACCAAGGCAGTGGCTATGCCGGAAGCCACCCGGTTTGAACACGGTCGCCAGGAAGGACCCCACAGACTCTGCGGCGGTCTGCGGCAGCTCCTTCCCGAGCCATCCCAGCGAGCCCGGGGTCGGGGCGGGCCCACCGGCAGGGCCATGAAGCAAAGGCGCCTGCTCTCGAAGGGCAGGGCCGGGCGGGACGTGTCCAGGACAGACCCGAGGGAGCTGAGATCTGAGGGAGGGTCAGTCTCGTGACGGGGCGGGGAGAGGCTGTGCAAGGGAGGCCCTGGGGGAGGGAGCCGTGGAGGGGACGGGCTCTAGGAGCCGTGAGGGGCAGCGGCCGTGTTCATTATCACCCATCAGGAGAGAAGGTGGGAAAGAATCGCCAAAGA